CCTGAATGCAAGATGGAAAAGCATCATCGATAATAATGGAGACTATTTCATTTAATAAATGTTTTGTTTTGATATATAAGTTGTTCTGGTTTTTATCTAAAAAGTGACATTGATTTCTTGACGACCTAATATTTTATAAATTCTGACATTCCAAAGTATTGGTAGCAGAATTCCAGGTATTCTTATAATTTTAAATTTATTTTTCGTACGCTTAAAGGTATATTAGAATATTTTCATTGTAAGTTTATCACGCCTTAAGATTATTGTAAAATATTCATTACAAAACAGCTATAAGTCATAATTTCGTTGAATTAATATAATATTTATCAGAAGTATTAGGCTTATTGTTTATTCTCACTATATTACTTCAGTTCCTTTCAGTTTTTCCGATAAGAAGGCTGTATAATAATATTTCAACCATACTATATCCAACATATTCATTACTGACGATGCATTTCGCTCAATACCAGAGTTCATCTAGCCAGCTGTGTTGTAACAAACATAGTAATGGTCAGAACACTATTTACACAAGCCACTTGATAAAATAATAATTGTTATGGCACTAACATTTTTGTTTGCAAAGCTTGATTATAATCAATTACATTTGTCATAAGATAATCAGACTTACAACGCTAGAATCCGAGTTTCGATACCCGTGGTGGGCAGAGCACAGATAGCCCATTGTGTAGCTTTGCATTTAATTACAAAATAACATGTTATTTTTGTGTGGTTGGAATAATATTATACACTCTTCTTATTGGAAATATAGTAACGAGTGGAATAAAAATGAAGTGTTAGAAACAACAACACTAAAACAATAAGCATGATACTATTGCTTATGAGAAATATAAATGAGCCTATTATTAGTTACCTGACATAAAATAAAAGCTATTAATGAAATAATAATTGAACAATCTCTAAAAATTTGGTTTAAAATTTTTGTTTTTGTTATTAAACAGAAAGCTGAGTATCGTAAGCATCGAAACCCGATTTTTTGCGCTATGAGCCCACAGACTTTCCGTTGTGTTAGCGATGGGTATGTTTGAAAGTATCGTATTGTAAGAAACGATGAGATACTTTCGAGACAGAGTATCGTTTGAGTATAGATTTTTGTCTTGTAGACTTAGGTTGCTAGTTAGGTTTTGCATCGTGGGTCAGCGTATACTGTGTCCTAAATATATTAGTTTTTCAAAGGATCAAGATTTTCAGCAGAGGGGTTTCAAACTTAACCCTAACTGAATACCTGATAGTTTAATCTGGGAAAAAGGATGCATAACAAAAGAAACGAAACGGGTTATAAGGTTATAAAGTTATTAATGAGAGTATGATAACAACGGAAACTGTCCCTCCTTTCTAAAGCAAGTTTTTGAAAATTCAGTTATGAACATATATCTATAAGAAAGAGTTACTGACTGTGTATTTGCATGTGATCAGTACCGTGTTTATTTAACATTAGACAAGATGACACTTCAACATCGACTCAGATTAAATCAGGTGAAGACAGCGTTATCTAGAATGTATGTAGATTATTAATTCATTTTGTAGAAATGACAACTGAAATTCGAACCCGAGACTTTTTCTACCCGGACAGACACTTTACCAACAATATTCCTCCTTTCTCTCTGTTTTCCTGGACAGAACTTGGCAGGGCTCATAAAGTACACCTCCGAAGTACGGAATCCATTTATACACATTTTTCCACCGTGTTTAAAGTTGTTGTTTTACAGTTCACACCATCTACGCATATTATTATGTGTTTTTAAAGTGTTTAAACCTTATACCAAAAATTTATGTAAGTTATGGAACTATGACAATCATTAAAGAAACGACATAGAAATTTAAAAAAAGATGGAAAGGGAGGTGTAAAGATGATGACAAATAAAGATGTTAGTGTATAAAACAAACACATATATTCAGGTTCGCTCTTCAAGCCACACTACGAATAATTCATTTTTATATTTCAGGTTCGTCTCCTTTGGAAAGACCCTAGAAATGTTGGCTGGAGGGAAAAGACGGCCTACAGATGGCTATTGCTTCACAGACCCAAAATTGGATTAATCAGGTTAGTTTAGAATTTTAGTTTTAAATATTCTTCGTTACTTTAGATAGCTATTGTTCATTTTATCCGAACTGATTTCCATAGTACTACGTATCTTGTTGAAACAATAGGTAATTATTAATCTATTAACCGGAGCTCAGGTTATTTAGAAGTTTTGTCCCATATAATATATTAATACTGTTGATTTATCCTGTTCAAACAATAGGTAGGTATTGGTCTATTAACCGGAGCTCGGGTTATTTAGAAGTTTTGTCCCATATAACATATTAATACTGTTGATTTATCCTGTTCAAACAATAGGTAGGTATTGGTCTATTGACTGGAGCTCGGGTTATTTAGAAGTTTTGTCCCATATAACATATTAATACTGTTGATTTATCCTGTTCAAACAATAGGTAGGTATTGGTCTATTGACTGGAGCTCGGGTTATTTAGTAATTTTGTCCCATATAATTTATTAATACTGTTGATTTATCCTGTTCAAACAATAGGTAGGTATTGGTCTATTGACTGAAGCTTGAAGTTTTATCCTTAATACTGTCAATTACCCCATAGACTTTGTATTTATACATATATCTAACTATCGTTGTGAATTGTTATAGTTAGGCTACAATAAAATAACGATGTCTATTTATCTTTAGGTTTTAGCTGAGACCAGTTAGTTTAGTTTCGTTTTAATTTTGTTTGTAATTAAGCACAAAGCTACACAATGGGCTATCTGTGCTCTGCCCACCACGGGTATCGAAACCAGGATTCTAGCGTTGTAAGTCCGCAGACATACCTCTGTGCCACTGGGGGGCATTT